ATCAATCACAATAATGAATACCAATGAAGACTAATTACCTCGAAATCAAATGATGACACAAAGATTTTTACTGAGGTTCACTTGCTTGCCGGCAAGCTAGTCATCGTTATGGCGATTCACTCACTTAGAGGTTCACGCGCTAATTGGCATCACATGCCAAACCCTCAATAGGATGCCGCACAACCAACACAAGATGAGGATCACACAAGCCACGAGCAATCCACTAGAGTACCTTTTGGCCCTCCGCCGAGGAAAGGTCAAGAACCCCTCACAATCACCACGATCGGAGCCGGAGACAATCACCAACCTTCGCTCGACGATCCTCGCTGCTCTAAGCCATCTAGATGGCGGCAACCACTAAGACTAACAAGCGAATCTCGCAGCGAAACACAAACACTAAGTGCCTCTAGATGCAAACACTCAAGCAATACACTTAGATTCTCTCCCAATCTCACAAAGATAATGAATTAATGATGGAGACGAGTGGAAGGGCTTTGGCTAAGCTCACAAGGCTGCTATGTCAATGCAAATGGCTAAGAGAGTGAGCTAGAGCCGGCCATGGGGCTTAAATAGAGCCGTTGTACCCCTTCACTGGGCACTGCTCGGGGTGACCGGACGCTCCGGTCATATCGACCGGACGCAGGACCCCAGCGTCCGGTCGCCCGATGCTTGCCATGTGTCATCGGCTTCAAACGCTGATCGCCCGATCTCAACGGTCATCAGTACATTTAAGTAGTGACCGGATGCACCAACACCAGCGTCCGGTCGTTTCCAGTAAGGTACCAGAAGCGAAAAATCATGACCGAATGATCGACCGGACTCACCCAGCGTCCGATCACTCAACGTCTCCCCTATGCGCTGCATATGTCATCATACATCATACTGATCGGACTCAGGCCCTGAGCGTCCGATCATTTCTCGCGCCAACGTCCGGTCATGAGACCAAAACCGCACGCTCACTGCTGCCACTGACCGGACTTGTCGGTCCTACCGAGACCAGCGTCCGGTCACTTACAGTGACCTCCGTTCACCTGGGTTTAGCCACCAGATACGTCCGTTACGCTTTGTAAAACCCTGTCTTTTCTGTATAGTGCGCCGGTGAAGTTTCTTACCCTTGCTCAAATGTGCCAACCACCAAGTGTATCACTCTGTGCACATGTGTTAGCATATTTTCACAAATATTTTCAAGGGTGTTAGCACTCCACTAGATCATAAATGCATATGCAATAAGTTAGAGCATCTAGTGGCACTTTGATAACCGCATTTTGATACGAGTTTCACCCCTCTTAATAGTATGGCTATCGATCCTAAATGTGATCACACTCTCTAAGTGTCTCGATCACTAAAATAAAATGGCTCCTACCACTTATACATTTGCCTTGAGCCTTTTGTTTTTCTCTTTCTTCTTTTCATGTCTAAACACTTGATCATCACCATGGCATCGCCATCATCATGTCATGATCTTCATTTTCTTCACCACTTGGAATGTGCTACCTATGTCATGATCACTTGATAAACTAGGTTAACACTTAGAGTTTCATCAATTCACCAAAACCAAACTAGAGCTTTCAACCGCTCACAAGACGAGTTGGGTCATCCACAATCACCACCGGATGATTGCTAAGCTTCCAATCACCACCAAGCCATTTAGGTGATGGCGATCACCAAGAGTAACAAGCACAAACTCTCACTTGACCATGAAAGTCTAATGAGAAAGGTGGATGCACACTTGCTACTACCTATGCACTAATGAGGTCTTTAATTTTGGATTAACAAATCTCAATCACCCTATTAGGCTCTTGCACTCCCTTAAACTCTAAATGGTTGCCTCAACTGATCAAATGAGCAAGAGAGCTAGAATGGAAGAGTTGGGGAAGTATAAGTACTCCCACACAAGCCACTAGTCGTTGGTGTCAAAAACACTTTTCTGTTGTGCTCTGGACCGGACCCAAAGGGATGGTCTGAACCAACACAACTCGGTCCGACCTATTGGGGACCGTGACGCCTAAGAGGGGGGTGAATTAGACAACTTAAAATTCCGACTCTAAACTATGGCTTCTTTTTCTACCCTAGACAAAACCGATGCAAAAAGATAAACTATCTAAATATGCAACTATGGTTTTGCTCGTATGTTGCTATCTCTACCACAAAATGTGTTATGTAAACAATGTAAATGCGGAAGCTAAAGATTAAGGTAGAGATATGCAAACTCCCATCGATGACTCTAGTATTTTTACCGAGGTATCGAGAAGCGCACAAGCTTTCCCCTTAGTCCTCATTAGAGCCCCTCGCAAGGGCCAAGCTCCCGGTCGGGTAACTCCATGGATAGCCTTGGATCTTCCCCACGCGCAAGTGGGTCTCCGGTGTGCCTTCCGACAAGCCTCTCCCGGACCGCTCCCCGCCGTCTTCACTATCAAGCTTTCGGCCAAACCACCGCGGGCCTTGTTCCCTTCGGTACACGGTGATGGCCACACCACAAACGCGGTTGGTGTGATCTCGCAAGACTACAAGCCCCTCCGATGTACAACAATGGTGCACGCAAGCACCGAGTGGTAAGAGGTATGCAAAGCTCACTAAACACTAGGCCTAAACCTAGAGCAAGCGCATAAGCGGTGGTCTAATCAACCTAAGCACTTCGCAAAGCACCTACGCTAATCACCTAATGAATCACTAAGCACTATACAAGTGGAGATTACTAAAATGGTGTGTCAACACCCTTGGTATGTTTACTCAGCTCCACACATCTCAATTGGTCGGTTGGGGGGTCTATTTATAAGCCCCACCGAGAAAGTAGCCATTGGGGACGAAATCTCGCTTTTCTGCTACTGACCGGACACTGCTTTCGTCCTGACCGGACGCATCCGGTCGTCCCGACCATTAGAGCCACGATCAACTGATCGGACGCTGATGGCGTTCGGTCCATTCTGGAACCTCTCTGGAGTCGATCGGACGCTGTTATTCTGCGTCTGGTCGATTTGCCGCCAGCGTCCGGTCAGTACTGAGTGTGTTGCCTGGATGATGAACAGTGCCATCGGTGCGTCCGGTCACTTTCAGTACTTAGCGTCCGGTCACTGCTGCTGATGCCTTCTATTGCCGAGCCTCTTGATCGAAGCGTCCGGTCGCTACTTCGCCAGCGTCCGGTCACCTCTGTGAGCTCGTTTCTTCGTGATCTTGCATCCGGCTTGGTTCCTATCTTCGTGCTTAGACTTTGCTTGATATCTTGGGTCTTCTCTTGTGCTTCTAGAGTCTTGCTTAAGGTGTTGATCGTGGGATCATCACGTCGCCTTCGTCCAAGTCACGTCTAGCACCCTTTTGAACACAAAACAATCACTTGCAAATTCATTAATCCAATTTAGTTGTGTTGGTCATCAAACACCAAAATCCAAAGTAAATGGGCCTAGGGTCCATTTTTCTTACACGACCCTCACAAAACAAATAGTGTTTCCACTGTGTTAGAAGTGACCGCTGGACCGAGTTTGAGTTCATTTCTCCTCTCTAGAACCTTTCTATACTAGTCCGGACCAAGCTCACCATTGGTCCGGACTGGTACTATTCACCGAGTCCGGACGTGCTTGACACAGACCCTAGGCAACCGGACCCAGGTGACATAGTCCAGACGCCCCATTTCCCTCAGTCCGGACCAAGCGCGCGCGCCTGAGAAGCTTTCAAGAAGTGCCACGTGTCCTCTGGACCCTCTACCATGGTCCGGACCATGCTCTAAACCTCAGTCCAGAGCAACAACAACCCCAAATTCACTTCCAATTCAAACACTTTTGTGAAAGGGGTTTGTTCCACTTGATCTTTAGGTAATCCCTGAGCTACCTAAAGCATGGGTGGATCGACGAGAATCCCAGGGGGGCTCGAGCCCCCCACCCATAACATACTAAGAACCACTTAGGGAGCCTACATAAAGTTTTTAGGCAAAGTAATAGTATGGCCAAAGTGAAACAAAGTCTCTAAACTACGATCGAAGATATGTGTTGTTCAGCCCCCCCTAAAATTATTCATGGATCCGCCGTTGTTGATAAGTGTTCACCACACCTAACACATTAAGCTCACCTAGGTCAAGCTACTAGTTCATACCCCCTTAATAGTATGGCCAAATAAAAAACAAAGTCCTAAACTACTCTAAGTGTCTCTCCAATGTCAATCGACACTTAGAACTAGTCCATCCTTTAATAGAGGCATGAAAACCATTGATTGCCCAAACAATTATCATTATCGTGACCTAACTTAAATTGCCTCTACAAAACATACGTTAATCATAATAATCTTACATTGTCATTAATCACCGAAACTCACTAGGGGCCTAGATGCTTTCAGCCCCGCGCAGCAAAACAGCTCCTCCGCGAGATCCGGGCGGCAACACCTCCCTCCGCGAGATCCAGGCAACGACGGCTGCTCATGCGGGCCGGTGGTGCGGCCGAGGCAGCACGGTGGCCAGAGCTGAGGGAGATGGCCGGCAAACCCTCCTCTTTTTCACGCATGGTAGCTGGAGCTGAGGGAGATGACCATCAGACCCTCCCCTTCCTCGAGTGTTGTGGCCGGAGCAGACGGAGATGGCCGGCGGACACACCCATATTGCACCATCTTAGCGCTCGTGTCATCCCAACTTCGGTTACTCCATTAGAGATATATACATAGCAATGGCACATTGCAGACTGGTTTCAAATCCTCTTACCTAATAATTTTCTATAAGGCAAAGGAAAACCAATTTCCACTAAACAGTAATTGTAAACACACGTTTATTAGAAATTATCAGATGGAAAATGTCTATTACAGCTGTTGGAACAAATGTTTCCTACAAGACAACAAAAGAATCAATGGGACGAGTTCTTGGAAGTTGCTACATGAGCGATAAATCTGAGCGAAACCCCAGCACCCGGCTTGCAGGATGATAATAGCCTGAAGCAGGGTAAATCTGGGAGAACCCCACCACCCGGCTTGCAGGATAATGATAGCCTGAAGCAGGGTACAACTGAAATTGGCTGCCACACGGCTCATCCGGTTTTGTCATGGTGAAATTGGACCACGATGCATGTGATATTGTCAGCGCTGCCACGAGAGTAAGCAATCTCTGTCAATTTCCGAGCTGCAGACTCTGGCGCCTCCTCTGATTTCCCAAGGGAAACAGCTTCCTTTTTTCATAAAAGCATCAACAACATTGTTATTAATTAAGTGAAGACACCAGTATGAGCAGAGCTGCCCATTTTGTGAGCAATAAGAATGTAACCCCAAAGCAAACAGTAAAAACAGTGAGGTGATGCTTGATTGCTTTCATACAATTAAATTTACGTAAAAAGTAACTGCCTGCTTTGAATAATGACTGAATTGTGGAAGAGTTATTACCTCATTTTCCACAACATCCCAAAGCCCGTCACTAGCAAGAACCAGGCATTCCAGCTCACCATTGACCTGTTCTTCCTGCAGTTTATTAGAAAAAAATTAATTACCAAAGTCCTATGTCTGTGAATGAAGTTCTACAGATCAACCAATAAATAAATATACATGGTTGCAGCAGCTATCAACTGATGCACCAGCGATAGTAACAATCACATATTAACGGTACAACTTCTCTTGCTTCCAATTGCATATCAATGGCAGTCAATAAATAAACTGTTAAATGGCATTCAGGACTATGGTTTAGTTGTACACATAATGAATAACATATATTTTTGTTTTTTTTGGGCAATTCTAATGTAACAAAACTGGTAAAAAACTGGCTTCCCCTAAATTAAGTTGTTGACAACAAAAGATACTTGGAATTTTTGCATAATCAATTACAGTATCTCACCTGAATTTCAGGTTCTGCCACCACATATGGCTTCAGTAAACGATTGCCAAATGCACGGGACATTGCCAATACACCACCTACCCTCCAAGTACCTGGGAAAATGCCACATCAAGAAGGTGATATGTTTATCATTCAAAGAAAAAAAATGATGACTTGAAAAATAAGGCTACTCCACTACGATACCAAGCAATACTCGAATGGGTGTATGGAAACCTAACATGTTCAAGCTCCCAGGAAGACAGATGGCTATAGATGAATAGCAGAAGCCTTTTGCAATCTGCCTTGTCAACTTCAGCTAATGCAAGCAAATTAGCCCAATGTATAAAAGAACGAAGAGCACATGCTTACCAGCCCAAATGACAATACCACCAGCATTTTCAATTCTCTTTCGCTCATCAATCCTGTTAGGTTTGTGATCTTCTGAAAGTGCCATAGCTAGAAAAAACAAATAGATGAACTGTCAGGCATTTCTCACAGGGTCGCACAGAATCAAAGTGACATAAATTCAATGAGAAACCCTATGAACCAAACTGTCATGGATGATTCTGTATTAACTATAACAAAGGTTAACTGGATATTATATTGATATGAGGAACAGAGTGATGCCAAGATTTTGCTTCGTGATTTAGATTCAATAGACCAGACCATACATCAACTGACAAATGTGACATGAAAATGAAATACAAATATGCTACTTAAAATACCTACTTCCAGTATGCAATACCTTTGCCAGCTTTTGAAATAACAGCACGAGAATCACCAACATTTGCAACATACAGATGGTCACCCACCAAAACTGCAGTTGATGCTGTTGAACCATCATCCCTGAAAGCGCTTGCTTCCGATTCCAAGAAATCTGTATCTGTTTTCTGATATGTTTCGCCTGTTTTTTTTTTTTCATAAATTTCAAGTTTAGCAGATAAACATGTTGCGGCACCAACAAGAATGGCAACAGGAAGTCTACAGTAAAGCTGAAGAGAAAAATTACTTATAGCAAGCTTTGTATCCGTCAAGAAATCAGGGTGCTTGAGAAGGTTCTCAAACAAGTGCTCCCTCAAATACTCAGCAGCACGTGATCCACCATGACCTAATCATCAAGATTTTGAAAAGAAAAACATGGTAGCAAAAAATAAACACAAAAACAAAGGCCAAGATTGGAGTCCATACCATCAAAAACACCAAACAGGCTAACAGCTTGTCCATCGATTTCAGTTAGTTTTACATCATAGAAATCCTCCATTGTAGCTCTCTTCCCTCTAAAACTTGAGTATCCACAACTCAGTTTACCATCTTCTCTGTCACAATTTTAGCATTGTGTTAAGCAGGGCATCATGCCAAACACTCAAGAGTCTCAGAGTGCGTCTACAGCAGAAAAGGATCAACAACAACAACAACAACAAAGCCTTTAAGTCACAAACAAATTGGGGTAGGCTAGAGTTAAAACTCAGCAAAAGCAATCAAGGTTCAGGCACGTGAATAGCTGTTTTTCAAGCACTCCTATCTAAGGCTAAGTCTTTGGGTATATTCCATCATTTCAAGTCTCTTTTTATTGCCTCTACCCAAGTCAAGTTCGGTCTTCCTCTGCCTCTCTTCACGTTACTATCCTGACTTAGGATTCCACTACGCACCGGTGCCTCTGGAGGTCTCCGTTGGACATGTCCAAACCATCTCAACCGGTGTTGGACAAGCTTTTCTTCAATTGGTGCTACCCCTAATCTATCATGTATATCATCGTTCCGAACTCGATCCCTTCTTGTATGACCGCAAATCCAACGCAACATACGCATTTCCGCGACACTTATTTGTTGAACATGTCGTCTTTTCGTAGGCCAACATTTTGCACCATACAACATAGCAGGTCTAATCGCCGTCCTATAAAACTTGCCTTTTAGTTTCTCTGGTACCTTTTTGTCACATAGGACACCAGATGCTTGGCGCCACTTCATCCACCCTGCTTTGATTCTATGGCTAACATCTTCATCAATATCCCCGTCTCTCTGTAGCATTGATCCTAAATATCGAAATGTATCCTTCCTAGGCACTACTTGACCTTCCAAACTAATATCTCCTTCCTCCCGAGTAGTAGTGCCGAAGTCACATCTCATATACTCAGTTTTAGTTCTACCGAGTCTAAAACCTTTGGACTCCAAAGTCTCCCACCATAACTCCAGTTTCTAATTCACTCCTGTCCGACTTTCATCAACTAGCACTACATTATCCGCGAAAAGCATACACCAAGGGATGTCCTCTTGTATGTCCCTTGTGACCTCATCCATCACTAAGGCAAACAGATAATGGCTCAAAGCTGACCCTTGATGTAGTCCTATCCTAATCGAGAAGTCATCCGTGTCTCCATCACTTGTTCGAACACTAGTCACAACATTGTTGTTCATGTTCTTAATGAGCCCGACGTACTTCATTGGGACTTTATGTTTGTCCAAAGCCCACCACATAATATTTATTGGTATTTTATCATAAGCCTTCTCCAAGTCAATAAAAACCATGTGTAGGTCATTCTTCTTTTCCCTATACCGCTCCATAACTTATCTTATTAAGAAAATGGCTTCCATGGTTGACCTTCCGGGCATGAAACCAAATTGGTTCATAGAAACCCGCGTTATTACTCTCAAGCGATGCTCGATAACTCTCTCTCCCATAGCTTTATAGTATGACTCATCAACTTAATTCCCCAGTAATTAGTACAACTTTGAATATCCCCTTTATTCTTGTAGATCGGTATCAATATACTTCTCCTCCACTCGTCAGGCATCTTGTTCGATTGAAAAATATGGTTAAACAGCTTGGTTAGCCATACTATAGCTATGTCCCCAAGGCATCTCCACACCTCGATTGGGATACCATCCGGTCCCATCGCCTTACCTCCTTTTATCCTTTTCAACGCCTCTCTGACCTCAGATTCTTGGATTCTCCGCACAAAGCGCCTATTGGTGTCATCAAAAGAGTCATCCAACTGAATTGTTGTGTCCGTATTCTCACTATTGAACAATTTGTCAAAATACTCTTGCCATCGATGTCGGATCTCATCCTCCTTCACCAAGAGATGCCCCCTTTCATCCTTAATGCACTTAACTTGGTTGAAGTCCCTTGTCTTTCTCTCACGAACCCTAGCCATCCTATAAATGTCCTTCTCTCCTTCCTTCGTACTCAAATGTTCGAAGCTATAAACAGTGTTTACGAGCTATTCGATTAATCGCGATAAGTCGGCCTAATCAATCCCTTCAGGTTGACCAGGGACACTGAGGCGACTAGCTTGACTAGAAACATAGTCGTCGCCTAATCGCGGTTAGTCATCCGACTCAGGCTGTTCTTTCATGGGCCAGATCAACTGGCCTTAGAGATCGGCTATTGAGCTGCAAATATAGCCTATTAGGGCTAGCATATGTGTGCCCAGGACTTCACCAAAAGGTAGAGAACGGAGGCGCCGGAGTTTCTTCTCCCGCACCGCCACAACTCCTCCCACTGCGTGATTCCTCTCTTCCTAGGCCGTGCTCGTTTCCTCCTCTCCCGCACATGATTCTGGTCATTCTTTGAATAGGTCAAGCCGCCGACAAGTCCATCCCTCGATTCGCAGCGCCAGCGCCCCCCCCCCTGCGCTGCCAGTTCAAGCCGCCGCCCTCTTCATGAAGTTGCTCCGGAAGATGAGCTCCTCCTCCGATGGTGAGTGTGCCCCTTCCCTCCATCTTCTTGCCATGCATCCTGCTTGCTTGCTGTGCCACCCCCTCTGCTACTCTCTGCTTGCTTGTTGCTACTCTGCTTGCTTGCTATTAATCGAATCTCAAGTCACCAACCAGCCATTAATGTAGTCTCGATGCTTGCTTTATTGTCTATACTATACAGTATATATAGTATGTATATGTCCTGGAATATATTGGACGACTAGGACCAACTAGGCTCTACTAGTTGGTCTGGTCACCTGGCCGGTCCCATGGCGACTAGGGTTGACTATACAATTTGTAAACATTAGCTACAAATGCTGCAGAGAATTGAAGCCTAATAAGATCACAAAGCAAACAGTTAATGTTATATTTGTTGCTCTAGTATCACTATGTTTCAAACAAAAATGAGTTCTATTCTACCTATAACAACCATTACAGAATGGACTCAATACATATTCTTCTTTTTAAGATTTGCAGCTATACTTTCATAGCAGTACTTGGCCAATCAAATATGCCATCCAGCATTCTTTACAACTTTTGATTTTCTATACAGCACAGAAATGGGATGGAGGTTGAAGGACTTTGATAACTTTGATCTTGGGCAACTGTAGCCAGTTCAGTCTCACTCAAGCGCACAACACCCCAACCAACACCCATGCAAACGGATGAACACTACCATTTGCTTAAAAAGACATGATAATTCTGATTGCTTAATCTGACTATCTGAGCCATCAGAGTGCAAACTTGCAAACCATATTGCTATCTGCTGACCTCTATGTGCGACATATAGAACTGCAAAAGCCTATCTCAGAGTCATGCTCTAGAAGTTGATTTAAGTTGTGGTCATGAGACCAATACATGTACTTGCATTGAGGTGTTCACAAGGAGCAACTTTCATATAAATGCGACAAAGTTTTAGCACTATAAGTCTTAAACTTGATAAATTTAGAATTGAAAAACTGAAACACATTAACTGGTTCATATATGGTGTCGCCAAAATCTTATATTTAAGTTTATAATCTATATGACCTTGATGTGGTACAAGTAACCACTCACAATAATTAACATAGAGAGGTTTGACTGGAAGGTAAAAAGGCAGCATCATAGCAGTAAAACACCATAATAATAAATAAAAGGACTCTACATTTACGTTCATTATTAAAGAACGATCTGTCTAAAAAAGGCATGGCACCAGCCGCTCACTTACATCTTAGAATAATATCATTTTTTAGTTCTAATGTGTGTCAAGGAATAGTAGAATGTGGTGCCAAATGACTAACGCATCTGTAGTAACAAAAAGCACAAGGTGCATTTGTATGTTTCAGTGTTCAAGCCAATTAGTCTCTTACACTGCAGGCAATACAAAACACAATGCAAAACTGCACACAAATGCAGCATTCTAACCGGTTCAGATGCTCCGTTCCGCACCACGACATGCAAGTGCCGACAGGTTATATTACTAGCCTCAAAGCACACGCACATACATTACCTCTCCCATCCGCCGCTGGCGTAGCCGCCGTCGTGCGCCTGGGGCACGGCCCCCACCGCGCGGCGCTGCTGCTGCACCTGCCCCGCCACCGCCCCGGCCCCTGCCTCCGCGGCGGTGGCAGAGGCAGAGTCAGAGGAGTCCAGCATCATCCTTCCCGTGACCGCCCGGAACCCGCGCCAGCCGTGTCCGTGTCCGTGCCGGGGCGTCACGCGCACATCCGCCGCGCGGCCACACAGGATCCTGGGCCCCCGGCGCCTGCCCGCAGACGCCGCCGCACGCAGCACCAGCGCCCTCAGGAGGCTACCGATGCATACCATCTCATGGCTGCTGACTCCACCACTCGCCTGCCCGGATGCCGCGGCCGCGCCCCGAGGCGAGATCCGCTGGTTTAATGGCTTCGGATCTGGGGAAAGGGAGGGCGGGGAGGAGGAAGCGGCGGGAGGGGACGTAATGGCCGGTGCCAGATTCCGCTACCGCCTGCCTCCTCCCCGCTAGAAAAAGGCACCGGGTTTCAAGGAATTATTATCGATAATAATTGGTGTGTTGCCTGATATTACTTTTTTCATTACAAAAAACTATGCCTAGATTAGCCGAATAGAGATAAAAAAAATTGCGTGCTAGAAAAAGCTTGCAATGCTTTAGGAGCTGGCAATCCGCTTTACAACGAATTTTGAATATAAATTTAGCTATGACGCGGCATCCCACATAAACACTTATATTATACCACCAAAAATATAACGAAGAGTATCGTCGGCTTCCCCCGTACTTATACGGTAAAAGAACCCACGTCAAAAAAAAATGTTTCCAAAAATATACGGCAAAAAAAAAAGTAAAAAATACCACGGTCCTGTTTTAAATCCTTATCCTTACCAAACTAAATCCTGCATACCCACCCACATGCAAAAATATACGGCAAAAAAACATTAAAAAAAACTATCGTCCCGTTTCGAATCCTTATCCTTACCAAATTAAATCATGCATGCGACACTAATGTAGCGGTGGCAGCAGCCCACATGCAAACGTGCACTAAAAAAAGCTCCCCTCGAATGTGGATCCAATTCGTTAAAAAAAAAGAAAATACCTTACACCAATACGCTAAAAAAAATCCCCTAGCTAGAGTCCGGATCCACTTCGTGAAACAAAAACATAAGTACTACGTATGGAAATAGAAAAAATAAACATACTTATAAACATACTTTACATCAATATATTAATGTGCGAGGACTCCGCTGCGCGACACTAATGTAGCGGTGGCAGCAGCCACGACCAGCGCACTGGCACTACTGCCCTTCTTGATGGCGGCGGCCGTCTCGATCCACCGCCTCCTCCGCTGTTTGACTGTCACCACTGGTGCCCATGATGACGCGGACATGCCGGCGATCATCGACTCGGTGTGCGTGGCGACGTAGACAACAAACTCGGAGACCTTGGACGTGAGCTTCAGCACCACTGGCTCCGGCGAGGGCAACAACAACATGTTCGGCCTCACGCAGTGCATGAGCTACCTCTTGATCCGGCTCTGCCCCACGGACTGCCAGCTCTGCTACGCCTACTAGGCGTAGAGATGCGTGAAGCTGCCGCACCGCCTCCTTACCGACAGCAAGGATATGCAACTTTGAAGCTGGCTATGGCCATTGGTTGTTTGGGTCTTAACATCGTTAGATTTATCATGTTAATTTATATTTTTTCTGCAATCTTCCTCTTGATCAACACAATTTTGGTGATAAAGATCATAAAATAGACTTTAACTTCATCTAAGCCACAATCCTCGTGCATCGGCGTAGGCAAGGCAAAAATATATTTGTTACCTGTGCAACGCACGGGCATATATCTAGTATAAATATTAAACTACGTCCCCAAAAGTTCCTATATCCATTCTTTTAAAATTAGAAGTTTTTATGGAAAACATGTAAGTGCGATTGGAAAACTTACTCCTAATCTTGATTTTTTAGCGAGATTGGAAAAACATGTCTCCGACAACTCCTTATCTTAACTATCAATCTTGCTACCAGAGTACTAGTAAAATTTGTTTCATATTTTTAGAGTTAAAATGATTTTTCTATGATTTTTTACAAGATCATACATGCATAAAGGGGCGTCCACTATGCTCCGAGGGACCGTTCGGAAAAAAAGGATGGATTGTCCGCTAGAACACTTAAAAGCAATGTGTTCGTGTGTGTTTTCTCGGACGGTTCCGGCCTGGGGATTATCCGCCAGGACATGTCCAGCATGCAAAAATCATGCCTAAAATGATTTTAGTTGCATTTGGACACCGATTTAAATGCGGTTTGTTTCTATATCCTCCTAGTGGTGTGGGAAAGCCATTCTAGGTGTTGAATTGATTATGCATAGTGTGTGAGGAGCTCAAGCTCATCCATGGTGGTGGTGCCCATGGATGGCTATGGAGCTTTGTGGGGAGGGTGATCTAGAGGGGATGGAGAGGGAGATGACTTGGGACATGCTCGCCATGGCGTGAGGAATCTCTAATCGTAGCGGACTCCTTTGGGACGTGAATAAGGGTCCTTAGATGCCCCTTAGACTATATAACGTCGTTATCGGTTTCTGAACCCCCCAAAATTCCAGAACTTTAGACATATATCTACAATTGTCATTTTATTTGAGTTGCATTTTATCTTGTTCTTTTTGTGACCTTTGATTTGCAGCAGGGATTAGCCTTCCCGACGAGGTCAATCGGATTGTGACACGGTTGTGATCTAAAGCCGGATCAGTGTGTCGTAATCCACCAAATTAATAGTTATCTCCACCTGACGGAAGATCGAGAACCCTATCCCTGCTAGATGCTTTTTCTATGCATGCACTCGGTCCATTGAACCACATCACCTTGCTATAAAAGCGCACCAACTCATCGTCACATACCCATCGAATGCTTCACACCACTCATCTCATCCACAACACACAACACTACTTTAAAAAAACAATGGCTGACATAGAAGTTTAACTCCTTCAGAGTCCTTGAGTGGCCCAAAATGCCACTGTGGCTGGCATGCTCTTTTAGGTACAGGGACGGAGCATCGGTATCTACACAGATATGCAGCCTGTTCGTTTCGTCGTAAACGATCGTGGATTATTTACTGCTGGCTGGTTTGGTGTGAGAGAAAAATATTGTTCCAGCTTATAATCCACGATCGTATACGAGCAAGCGAACAGGCTGATGGTCGTAGGGTCTTCATATGCCCGGACCTTGATCACGGACTTCAATGTTTATTACATCTGTACCTTTCATATCCTATTTTCCGTAACCATATTGTATTGTATGTTCACATAGGCTTGCACTTTCCGTGAATGGGTCGACATCAACATGCCTGCATGGTGTTAGCAGCGAGGAAGGGAAGCAGAGGAATCGGAGTTCGGGGAAGAAGAAGCAGAGCACGGGGTTGGCGACGGAGAAATCTCGATTGAGTTTAGAAAGGTTCAATACAATGTTCATAAGCCTTCCCAGGCACATACTCATGCTTAAGTAGAAAAGCCTATCACGCTACTCCTTGCCAGATGTTCACACGTTCCTCCATTCTGGGCGAATAGGCATACATTCTTCTGCTTGGGCCTGGGCTTGCGGCCTGCGTTCTCTTCAGCTTCAGCTGTGCCGCTGGCCTCACCTTCTTCCATGAGCATTGTCGTACCAGCAACAGGGGCGATGCTGACACTCCCCCCTCCTTGCGTGCCTAGATGTTCCCAGACCAGAGCATGAGGAAACTGCTGTCGTAGGGCTTCCAGTTCTTCCCAGGTAGCAAGCAACTCCGGCAGGTTAGACCACTTGATTAAACCCTGCAGAATAGAAGATGTACCTTGGCGAAGCAGGCGACGCTGAATGATGCGTTCCGGAACACTCCAAATGGCGGTATCAGATGGAGGTTCAACAGTGACTGATTGATGAGCACCCACCGCCTTTTTAAGTTGGGAAACATGAAAGACAGGGTGGACAGTTGACGAAGGTGGGAGCTCCAATCGATAGGCCACAGTGCCAACTTTAGGGCATGTTCGGATAGCATGGAATAGAGCCCATGAATTGATTCGGCCAGGAACACAGCTGTATTTTATACAGGCAAGCAGCAGTAGGAACAGTTCCGGCCAGGATTAAGCCAAAACAAACGGGCCCTTACCAATGACCCGGTATGGGCCGAAGAAACGGAAGGCCAGCTTGTGATGAGAGCGATCAGCAACAAAAGACTAAACATAGGGTTGGAGCTTTAGATAGACCCAATCGTTCAGCTGGAACTGGCGCTCAGTACGACATAGATCAGCTGACTTTTTCATCCTCTGCTTGGCACGTAACAGATGTTGGCGAATGAGCTCTGTATTGAGGTTTCGGTCAGCCAGCCAGGAAGACAGATCAGTGACTGGAGCATCTAGAGCAGCTGCAATTCCGAAAGCAGTAGGGGCATAACCATACATGACCTCAAATGGGGATCTTCCAATTGCCGAGTGGAAGCTCGTGTTGTACCAAAATTCAGCGAGATCCAGCCAGTTACTCCACTGCTTAGGGGCTGCATGAGCATAACACCGCAGAAAGGTCTCCATGCACTGATTTACACGCTCTATTTGACCATTTGTGTGGATGATATGCAGTGGACATGCGAAGATCAACTTTGGCAAGTTTGAAGAGATCCTACCACAGGTTGCTTGTGAAGATGCGGTCATGATCCGAGATGATAGCCTAAGGCATGCCGTGGTGCTTATACACATGAGACAAGAAGAGCTTGGCCACCGATGAAGCAGTAAATGGATGTTTTAGACCTAGAAAGTGAGCATATTTGGAAAAGATATCCACAACCATGAGAATGCAATTGAATGAACCGGATACCGGAAGACCTTCAATGAAATATAATGAGATTACCTTCCAAGCACGATTGGGTACCGGAAGAGGCTATAGCAGACCTGGCAACTTAGAACGATCTGGTTTCGCCTGCTGACAGACGGAGCATGCTGAGATAAACTGATGAACTGCAGCATTCATACCTTGCCAAGCAAAGAATTGCTTAATACGGCGGATGGTGACTGGAATACCAGAGTGCCCGCCGACCGCATTGGCATGTAAGGCAGTGATGAGCTGTGCCTGGAGAGCAGTATCTTGACCGATCCAGATGCGAGACTTGTACCGCAAAAATTCCATTGCTGAATGTAAAATGAAAAACAACTTGAGTATCCAGGAGCAATTTGCTGATGATCGACTGAGCATGCTCTTCCTTTGCATAGGAAGCCTCCACGGCGGCCAGCCACTGTGGTTGTGCTACCGAGATAGCAGGAACCAACTAGGTAGCGTGAAAGAGCATCCGCTGTCCTATTTTCAGTGCCTTTC